TTTTGTTCGCTCACTTGACCTACCAGCCCGTGCCCTCCCTCAAGATGGCAAACATGGGACCTGTGCCCAGGCTGTGTGCCCTGCTCAAGTGCTCCTCCCAGATAGGAGGCTATCCATCACTTAAGTCAGGATGCTGGGTCCCACGTCAGCTCCCGGGAGAGACTATCCCTCCACCCTCTGCATCCCTGAATCACGATGTCTATCACACTCAGCATTTCACCTGCTTGTTTCCCAATGTTATATCCTTATAGACAGCTGAAAAGATTCTCCATGCACCTAGGTCCCTTGAGCTCAGACTCTATTTTGTTCCCTACCGTGTTTCTAGAACAGTGATCTTACATAATCTCGAATAATCACCTGAAAGGTGGGTACTAACCCACCTTACAGGTAGTAAAACTGAAGCTAAATGCTGTTGAGCAATTGCAATTTGCCTGATCTCACGATTCACAGGTGATAGACCTAGGATTCAAATCTAGACATTTTTAGTGCCTCCCTATTGTCGAGAGACACCATTCCATGGGTCTCTTGCATTCCTACGTGTCTTATTTGGCACTAAGAAAGCTAAGACCCTGACTGTCTTTTATCTGGATCATTCTTTTTTTTTTTAAGATTTTATTTATTTACTCATGAGACACACACACACAGACAGAGAGAGAGAGAGAGAGAGAGAGAGAGGCAGAGACACAGGCAGAGGGAGAAGCAGGCTCCATGCAGGGAGCCTGATGTGGGACTCGATCCCAGGACTCCAGGATCACTCCCTAGGCCGAAGGTAGGCGCAAACCACTGAACCACCCAGGGATCCCAATCTGGATCATTCTTCAGAGCTGCATCTACAGCCACCGGTTGCAAGGCACGAGGTCACGTCTTCCTCTGGGACTAAAAGAGGGCTCGTTTACTGTTTGCTACCAAAGGCTGAATTTTATCATCAGCAAAATGCCCTTGCTGATGGAGCAACGTTCTGGCTCCCGCGTCCCCCAGCTGGTGAAGTCCAAGTCTCCAGTGCCACCTACCCAGGAACACTTCCCTGTTTCCCTCCCCTTCCTGCTCCCCCACCCCCGCCACCCAAATTCATGTGAGACAAGGATGTACTAGAAGGAAGACAGTAAAAGAAAATTCGATTGGATCAAAGAAGGCCAAGCCAATGACCCTGGGGCAGACATCGCGGAAAGGAGAAAACACGAGAGAGGCGAAAAGTTTCTGAACGTCTACATTTTGGCGACCTTGAGAGTCCTCTCGGCCGTGAACTCTCTGGAGTTCGAGCCAATGAAGCAAGTGGTCAGACTGAACCTGACCTGCCACTGGGAGCACAGACCGTGTCTCGTTTAGTTCAAGGTCTCTGGGACTGTGCCCGCATGGGGACCCGCCTCTTGGGTAGACGGACGGAGACTGAACCAATGACGCTGACTCACGGTGGGCCTGCTGGTCGACCCCCACGCTACTCACTGCGGGGGTGGCAGGAGGGCCCGGGCTGCCTCCTCCAGGGGGGCTCTTCGGAGTGTTCCTTTTGGGAAACATTCAAGGGGTTCACAGGCCAGTGACCAAGCAGAACTGCTTTCTGATTATTATTTTTCCAGCTGAATGAGATTCAGTTCATGGAACCCTTCTGGGCCCCAAGGAAAGGGAGACATTCCTCCGCTCCTGGAAATGAATTGCTGGCTCCACCGCCACAAGAACCCAGATCAGGGAGGCCGAGAGAGGAGGACTGCTGGAGGCTCTTAACTGAGAGCCTGAGGCAGGACCGCAGAGGTCGCGCCCCCCCCATCCCTCTGCTGAGAGACCCCCGGGCTTACAAAATCAAAGGGGAGCTCCTGAAGGCTCTGTTCCTGCGCCTGGCTGCTGCCTGCCTCAGAGGCAGAGGCTGGTGGCATTTCAGGATCACAGAGGAACGCGGGGAGGACCATACGTCTCTGTTTCCTCTTCCAGGCAGGGAAACCAGGGCTCAGGGAGGGGATACGACCTGCCCAAGGTTGTGCATGAGTCTGTGGGGGCGCACAAGCCTAGAACCTGGGGTCCGGAACTCTCCAGACATGTCCCTTCCAGCACACCTTCCAGCACACCTGGCCCATGAACAGCCCAAGCAGGTGCCAGACAGCCATCAGTATCAACACAGACAGCACAAGTGCCCCCCCCCCCCACCCTCCCCAGGGCAGGACTAGTGACTACCTCTGCCCCTCCCCCACCTCCACCCCTACCTCCAGCAGGTGCTACTTGCTGGACTTCCCCTTCCCGAGGTCAGTGCAAGGTCAGTGGTACAGCGCCAGCCCCAGTTCTTGCTCTATTTCTGTAGTTCTGGAATCCAGGCTCTGCCCGGCTTGGAAGGACAAGCCTGAAGTAATGGACCAGAGTCCTGGTTTGAGAAAAAAATACAAAGCAAGAATAGGGAACTACTTCGAATGCAAAGGATTAAGGAACAAGACAAGTAGCTTCCTATTCGACACACACCTGCCTTCTGCCCCATTCAGTTCTGTTCCATTTTCCTTGCCACACAGCCAAGACCGCCTGTCTCACCCCTGCAGGCACTGGGAGGGTGACAGATGGAGGAGGCAGCAGAGACTGGTAGCTATGCCGGCCCCAGGGCCTTTGCACACGCCGTGCCCCCTGCCTAGAATGTTCTTACCCTAGAATCCGCATGGTGTGCTCCCTGGCTGTATTCAGGGTTCTGCCCAAATGCCCTCCTTGGAGGGGCCCGATCACCCTAAAATAGCGTCACTGCCCTCTTTGCCCAGCTGCATTTCCCACGATAGACTTAATCGCGAAATGACACTTCACCATGTACAGAACTCCTTTGCTTGCCTGTCTCCCTGCACCAGGTGAGCAGGGACTTTTCACCCGGGTCCCTTACTGCCATGTCCCCTGTGCTGGGAACAACAGTGGTTCTCAACAACATGTGTGGGCCGGAGGCAGGGTGAAAAGTGCTCAGAGCTCAGAAAGCAGAGGTTCGTCTGGGTTTGTGCCTTGTGTGTCTGTGGGGGCGGGGGGAGGTCCTTGGTCATTCCTGGGCCTCAATGTCCTCATATGGAAAATGGGAGGGTGACAGTGACCACCTCAAAGCAGCCCTGTCCACGGGCAGCCCAGGGCAGTGTCCAGCTCCGGGCAGGTGCCCTCCCAACCCGGGGCCGTGTGCTGGAGGCCTGCCTGCCCCTGAGCGAGCACACCTTCTGGAGGGGAAGACAGGGCTCGGCCTACAGACTTCCTTTGGCTTTTGCAAAAACGACAAAACCAAAAATACTATAAAACCACACGATGCATTTGTGCAGCCACAGAGGGCGGTGGTGAAGAAGCAGAGTCCTGCCTCCTGGGGTCCTCTGTGGCTGAGGCAGGATGTGGGGCCCACAGCATGTGACGGGGGCACCTGGCTCTGCTGTGGGGCCCACAGGCCCACTTCCCAGAGGACCGGGAGCCTCGGAGTGACCTCTAGGGAATCGTGGAATGTCAGCCATGGGGGCGGAGGGGCTCATACCTCACCCCCACCCCCACCCCGGAGGTGTGTGTGTGTGTGGCTCTGGGTTTGTCCTGACCAGACCAGTGTGGGATTGTTTATCAAATACCACCCTTCTCGGTTCCCCACCCTGATGCCTTTTCTTTGTCAACTCAGGAGCAGGAGCAACTGTATGACATTCATCAAATCATCAAAATCTCACTGCTGCTCTGGCCTGGAAACCAGAGCCGAGGATCCCACTGTATGTATGGACGGACAAACTGAGGCTCAGCAAGGGAAGGCACTTACCTCCTCCCACCAAAAAAAAAAAAAAAAAAATTCACACACTAGAGTCTTCCCCAAAGCAGAAACTAGCTAGTTAAACAGCTTTTCCCGGTGAGTGGGGGTGGGAACCCCCTAGCCCAGCTGCTGGATCCCCTCACCCCCTCAAAGAGGGTTTGCAAATCAGAGTCACACCCACTTCCACCCCCACTCCAGAGTTTTCTCTGAGGACTCAGGAGACCAAATCAGGCAGTTCATCTGCGGTCATTTTACTAAGTGGGGCTTGTTCATTCTCAAAGCTTTTTCAGAAACAGGTTCTAGGAAATCTTCTAAAAACAAGAGAGTGGGTTTCCAGGAAGAGAGGAGGAGACGGGCACCCCTAGTGATGGGAGGGAGGGGACGTGAGAAGCAGCGGGACCAGGAGAGAACAGATCCGGTCAGAGCCACAGTGAGGACCTGGAAAAGGCTTGGAGGGGGGGAGGGAGAGGCCCTGACGGGGCCCTAACAGGATGTGGGAGGAGGGCATCGGGGGCCTGCTTGGTGTCAGCCCCAGGCTGGATGCCCCCTCCACCCCCCACCCCCCGCGCCCTCCTTCCCACTACGAAGTCCAGTGTCCTACTTTCTGAATCACAAAGACACAACCACCGTCAAAATAATCTATCTGTACGGTCTGCACAGAAGCAGAATGTTAGACATGCTTTAGGGTCAGGCACAGAACGCACTCCCCGTGCTGTCTGTGCCGGTGACCTGTTGATGCCCTTGAATATAGCAAAAAGGGAAAAACACTGGGTTAACCAGAACTTTCTGATGATTAGAGGAACCTCTCATTTCCTGAACACTGCCCGGCAGCATGGGGTTTAGAAAGGACAGCCCTCAGGACACCTGGGTGGCTCAGTAGGTTAAGCATCTGCGTTTGGCTCAGGTCATGATGGCAGGGTCCTGGGATCGAGTTCTGAGTCGGGCCCCCTGCTCCGTGGGGAGTCTGCTTCTCCCTCTGTCCCTCCCCCCACCCATGCTCTCTCTCTCTCAAATAAATAGATAAAATCTAAAAAAAAAAAAAAAAAAGAAAGAAAAGAAAGGACCACCTTGGAAACAGCCTGTATGTCTGGAAAGCCTACTGTGTCCTGGGTCCTGCAGGAGGCACAGTGAGAGACACAATAACAGGGTCACAGGCCTCCCACACTGGGGCAGTGGAGGGACATCCATTCTGTTACAGCTGAAGGCAGAGAAAGCAAGCAATTAAAAGCACAGGTTCCGGAGTCACAGAGAGCAGGGTTCAAATCCCAGCTCCGCCACTTACCAGCGGTGCAACCTCGGGGGAGTTCCTTAACCTCTCTGAGACTCAGTTTCTTCATCTGAAAAATTAAAAAAAAAAATAACTCAGACTCAACCGCAGGGAAAAGGCATGAGGGTCTCTCCAGAGAGTGCCAGCGACGTCCTCAGCTCACAGGCACAGAGTGAACGTGAAGTGCTATTTTGATGGCAGGGCCCTGTAGGGCCCCCGGCGTTGGGAGAGGACAGCGGTCGCCTTCAGAGTGCGGGGCCGGCGGCAGGGGAACCCAGTGGCAGGGCTCAGTGCTCCAAACCGTTAAGTGAAAGCATGCACCGTCCTGTCTCCTCTCCGAGACCACTTCCTGCCTCAGATCAAGGCCCGGGGGTTGGCGTGCACTCATCCGGTGACCTCTTGGGCACCTGGCAGGGTTAGTCACTCTACACACACACTGTTGACGGCAGCCCCAGCCTCCCATGGGAACAGGAAGGAAACTGAGGCTCATGCAGGGTGGCCTGGTGGGGCCACAGGAGTGGTGGGCACAGAGCAGAGCTGGAAACCATCCTTCCCCCACAATGGAGGACAGAGGACTTTTCGGGTGCTCCTGCAACGGGCCTGGTGGCAAGTCCCAGATCACATGGAGGTGGGGGGGTCTGATTCTGGAATATTCTAACTGGCAAGAATCTGACAGCTGGGAGAGGTCAGAGGTGACCTCAGAGGGAGAGGTGACTTGAATCTGAGATTTAGGGAGGTGTTATTATTGTTTGAGCTTTTTTTTTTCTAGATGCTGACACAGGGGCGGGCCCTTCCTAAACAGTCATAAGGACGGAAGAAAACACCCCCACTCTGCCGTGGGATGAATAATAAACCCCCGCTTGCAGCCGATGCAGCCACACGCCTGCCGTCTTGGCTCTTGTCACCTGTGAGGCATGCAAAATGCTTTCCCTCTGGGAGTGGGGATGAAGAGGACTTTCTGTAGCGTTCCAATTTTATTATGTGCACTGCCAAGGCAAGCAAGAAGAGAACTTTCTGAATAGTCAAGACCACCTGGGCTCCTTTCTCTCCCCCTCACCTGAGCGCACCTGCTCCCATGGACCTGAGCCCGCTGACCTCTGCACGTCAATAATGGATGACCCAGAGGCCCATGGATGTTAATATTACATAGCGGCCGCCCCAGCCAGCAGGAGGGAGTGGGTGCCTAGGACAGGCTGGCCTGCCTCTTACTCTCCACGGAAGTAACACGAAAGGAGAAATTTTAAAAAAGTATAAGAAGGTTTAATTAAAAGTAATTACTCTCCAGAATAAGTGGCATGTGTTGCTGGCACCCTCTGTCCCATCACACGCACGGGAGCTTTGAGGGGAACATGGTCCTGTGTAACTAACACTGGGTGAGCCTCAAGGCCATTGAGGCAATGGCTGGGGACCACCAGCCTGTCACTCCTGGCTGTGTATCCTTCAGTGAACCACTTACTGCACCCTACCTCTGTTTCCTCATCTGTAAAGTAAGGAGAATGATAGTGCCTAGCTCCCCGGTTGCTGAGAAGACTAAGAAGGCAAACATATATGAAGTGTTTAAGGCATGCCTGGCAGGTACTAAGTGCTCTCTAAAGGCTAAGGTGCCATCATCACCATCACTACCACCACCACCAGCAGCTTCAGAATCATCTCCATCATCACTATCACCATAACCATTATCATCATCTCCATCACCAACCTCACCATCCTCACCATCCCCATCATCATCATCATCATCATCATCATCATCCCATCATCACCATCATCATTTCTTATCACCATCACCACCACCACCATCATATCATCATCTCCATCAATATCATCTCCATTACCATCATCATCACATCACCATCACAATCATTACCATCATCATCGTCATTATCACCATCATCATCATCATACCATCATCACCTTCTTCACCACCACCATCATCATCTCCATCACCATCATCATCATCACCATCTCCATCAACATCATCATCATATCATCACCATAATCATCACATCACCATCATTATCATCTATCATCATCATCATCACCATCACTGTCATCATCACCATCATCATTGTCTGCTCTGGGCCAAGTACCACAAATCTTATGGAAAGTCTCATTGCTCCCATTTCCCGGATGAGGAAATCGAGCCTGTGAGAGTCAAAATGCACTTAATTATTCATCATGCCAATAATTAATTATCAGTGACCTGGGAGGAGGCTCAGAACTTGCACATGGTGCCATCCACCCTGACGCTGCTGAGCTGAGCTGAGTTGAGCCACATTAGACTTCGAAAGGAGGGCTGTCCCCATGTCCCTTGATCTTTTTCTCCTTAGCTAGTAGATCCTAAGCAAGGCCAGATGCAAATTAGGAAGAAGAAACGTAGAGTTTGGGGTGTCACCACTGAATCCCAAGAGGTAGCTCTGAGCCTGGTGGTTCTGTCTCTGGCTACTCAAGATAAATACCCAGACTCATGAATAAGTCCCAAAAACGTTCCTGGACATAGGGCAGTAAGAGCAAGTTCTCCTAATGTCCTTCCACACCCAGCCCTGTCATGCAGGGTCACTGTGGTGCTTTATTGGTGGGAGACAGTATTTCTGGGAGGGGATTCGGAGAATTACAACTGCCACTTTGAAGTTTACAACAGCATCTTTGTAAAAAAGAATCTGAGTCTATTTTGATCCTGAAGATTGCCCAGTTACCCTGGTGTAGCCACAAAAGGCTGCACGAAAATGAAATCTGCTGAGATTTTGCTGGCAAAATCTTTGGCCTTTTTCTTTAAAAAAAAAAAAATCAGTGTAGTTAATATACAGTGTTACATTAGTTTCAGGTGCACAATGTAGTAATTCAAGAATTCTATAGGTTACCTAGTGCAGCATTATTGACAATAGTCAAATTATGGAAGCAGTCCAAATTGTCCATCAATAAATGAATGGAGAAAGAAGATGTGGTTATAGAAATACAATGGAATACTATTCAGCCATAAAAAGAATGAAATCTTGCCATTTGCAAAACCCTTGTCTTGCAAGGTGGAGCCTGGAGACAGTGACATGCCTTAAGTCTCGGCAGGTTAGCAAAGCCCAGGGCTCCCCAAATCTGGTTGGCTCCCATTAACTGCCTCCTGGTTCACTGTAGGATTCCAAAAATGTGTTTTCTGAGCACTTGGTCTGTGCCAAGGGATAAGTGCCAAGGACATAAAGATATATGGAATTGAGGAATCACTGCTGCAGGGAAATGCCCAATCAGTATAATGTGGGACAAGCCCCAGCCAAGCACTAATAGCGACCTAGCTTTTGTTCAGCACCTCAATGTGACTGTATTTTGGAGATCGGGCCTATGGGGAGGTAACTGAGGTTCGATGAGGTCATAAGGGTACGGCCCTACATCCTTGTAAGAAAAGGAAGAGACACCGAAGAGCCCTCGCAGTGCACCCAGACAAGAAGGGCCCATGAGGATGCAGCAGAAAGGTGCCTGTCTGCAGGCCAGGAAGAGAAGTCTCACAAGACACCAACTTTGATGGCACCCTGATCTTGATTCTAGAATTACAAAAAAAAATACGCTTCTGTTCTTTAAGTCACCCAGTTGTAGAACTTTGTGGTGGCAGCCCCAGGAGACTCACACAGGGTTGTAATCATCATCCCCATTTTACAGATGAAGAAGCTGAGCCTAAGGAGGAGAAGGACCTTCCGGAAGGCCACACAAATAATAAGTGGTCGAGCCCGGTGGTCAGACGTAGGCATCTGGCTGCAGGGCCCAGCATTTGATGGCCAATTGTATATGCAAATATTTATTTCCCCACCCGCCCCCTCCCTGTCACTGTGAGAGGGTGATTCCTCCGACTCCATTGATGTTGGGCTTGGCCACCTCTCTTGTTTTTGCCCAGTGAGATGTGAACAGTTATCATGTGTACCATCTCCAAGCAGGAGATGTAAATTGGATAATGTGTTTTTTTACTTTTATTTATTTATTTATTTATTTATTTATTTATTTATTTATTTTTTGTGGAGTCTTCAGTTCTGGCATGAGCATGGCATGTCCTAGATAATGACTACCTGTAGCCCAGGCCTTAGAAAGACCTCAAGGAACATCGCTGGGTTGCAATTGATCCTCAGTCAACTTGTAATGTGAACAAGAAACAAACATTTGTTGTAAGTCACTGAGATTTGGGGATTGTTTGTTATGCAGCAAAGCTGACATATGTAGGGCTCCTTTGTAATTATCCTATTTCCAACCAATTGTCAATGTGTAAGGATGGAGTAGGTGCTTGGGACATCTGACGTCCAGCACAAGCTCTGTTATGCACCAGCTCTGTGGCTTTCACTTATCTGTGCCTCAGTTTCTTCTCTGCAAAATATGGGTAAAATGACACCTGTATCTTGGAGTTCTTGCAAGGATTCTGCAAGAGATGATATGAAGTTCTCAGCATCGTGCCTAACATAGTAAAGACCCACTGGGACTGGGGTTGCCAAATGGGATGATGGAGTGATGTGTCAAAGTCAAATATACATGCCTGGGTCAAATCAAGTGCTCCCTTTTCAGCACATCTAACAGCCAGTGCTCCCCTGGCCAGCCAGTGTGCAGGTCTACGTCCTTACAGGAGGAAGACCAGAGGCTGGTCGTGCTCAGGGAAGCAGCAGGGAGTAGATGAGGGAGGAGGAGGGGGGAGGCACTTGGTCCTGGTGACATGGAAGATGGGCTCTCTGAGGCCCAGAGATGGGAAAGAAGGGTGGGAAGGTACTGTGAGGGGCTGGTTCCTCTTCCATTCCAGTCCCACTTCATAGATGAGACACTGAGGCCCAGGAAGGGGAGTGTCTTCCCCAAGGTCACACAGCTGGTGAACATCAGAACTTGGACCAGAACCTTGGTCTCCAGAGACCAGCTCAGGCATCATTCAGCTGCCTCCTGCTCAGTTAGGAAGAAATGAGACTCATGCTTCATGTTGGCTTGGAAGGCAAATGTCAAGTTTCTCTATCCTCGTGGGCGGATTTACCAAAACACGATTCCACAAGCTTTCCTTTGAGTCACTTCAAAACACTCCCTTCCCTTTCCGGGAAACTCAGTCCTATTCACACACACTGG